AAAAAAATAAGAAATCAGGAAGGGGGCAAACACTTTTTCACACAACTGTATGTACATACATACATCGTTAGATAAAAACATGTTGAGAATCTTCTTCTGTTCTAATATAATAATAATAATAATAATAATAATAATAATAATGATAATTGACTCACTCGTTCTAGAGCCTGAAAAAAATCCGTAGGCTGATCCTCTGGAGTATATAATATATATATAAATATATATATTTACACCGTTTAGTGTGAGTTCACATCCATTTTTTTCCAAAACGTCATCACAACTGTAACAATGTTATGTTAGTGACCTTTGACCCCAGAGGTCTGATGGGTTCCTCTTGGAGTTCAGGTTGACAGACGTCGGTTTAGAATGTGAGATGATGAGTTATGAATGAAGCTTCACAACTATTTGGTTCAACAGGTTACATTCTTTATAGAACAATCTAACCTGTTCTGTCTCTGTGGTTCAGAGGTTTGTATTGTTCTGTCTCTGTGGTTCAGAGGTTTGTATTCGCGAGACTTAAACGTGTTCGTGCTGCAATAAAACAGGATTCATCTCCTGATCGACTCACCGTCTGTGTTTCACCCTCGTCACCGTTCTTCTCCAATTGTTCTACTTAAAAAACACAAAGAGCACATCGACATCAGAGACAGAGAGAGAGACAGACAGACAGACAGACAGACAGACAGAATTGGTTGTACCTTGAGCAGCTTCTGCCTCTGAACTCTCCGTTCTGTTCATCTTGGACTCCGGCTCATCAGCTGCTGTGAGCGTCTGCTTCCTCTTCTTCTGGACGTCCTGCTGAGGCTTGACCTGCTGCAGTTCACACACACATCAATACGCAACACACACACTAACCAACGATGCAACCAGAGTCTACACGTAGTGCTGGTTACAAGCCAGATATCACAGCTGCTTCTGTTCAAGTACTCGTCTTAACACTGCAGAGGATCAGACCCACAGAGTGAACTCCTCCTCTGGACATGGAGGGTGCTCCCTATATAAAGGGGAGGGGGGTCCATGAGGCCTGTGTGACCACATATACAGGGCCAGTGGTCAGAGAGAGAGAGCCCCCTAGAGTGTGAGAGGAGGTCTTGTTTTTGGCTGGAGGTACTTACTTTGTTGAGGGGTCTCTTGCGGCCCCGCTGGCGGCCGGCCCTCGGGCCCCCTCCAAAGTGCCTCCCGGGGAAGTCGTGAGGCCCTCGAGTGGAAGACCCCTGGTGGAAGCCCCCGGTACTCTCAGGGTACATGCGGTTGGACAGGAGCGATGGGAGCTTTCCTCTACCACCTCCTCCTCCTCCTCCTCCTCCTCCTCCTCCTCCTCCTCCTCCTCCTCCTCCTCCTCCTCCTCCTCCTCCTCCTCCTCCTCCTCCTCCTGGGGAGCGGCCGCGGTGAGACTGGCCGCCAGTGCCGCTAACGGTTCCACGGCCACCGGTGCCGCTTACACGGCCACCTCCACCTAGAGGAGTGGGGTCGGACCTGCGGCTTCCAAACCCCCCCCCTCCTCCACCACCTCCTCCTCGACCCCCGGCACTTCCACCCCTTCTGGGAGAACGTCGGCCTGCTCCGGGCCATCCTCCTCCTCCTCCAGAGCCACTGTTGAAGGACTCCCTCATATTCTGTGGCATTTTAACGACTCCGTAGGAAGAGGAAGGGCTGTCAAAGCATCCTCCTCCTCCTCCTCCTAGACCAAAGCCAGAACCTCCTCGCTGACTCAGCAGCATGCTGTCGTCACGGCCATCGCCATAACCGCCATAGCTACCGCCGCCGGATCTGTAGAGATCTCGGGAGGAGGCGAGGGCGGAGGAGGCGCGCGAGTCGAAGGACTCGTAGTGGTCATACCTGTGGGGGGGAGGGAGGGAGAGGTGGTTGATAGAGAGCAAAAAAAGGGGGGCAGTCAGGTGTTTCTTGGGGATTTCTCCTCCAACCTGCTGGTCCTTTCTTCTCCTCCTCCTCCTCCGTGTGGGATCGCTTTCTCTGGTTGTCACTCCCAGCATTTCATATAAATATATCTTGATATATGCATTTGATAACATCAGATCAGAGATGGATGATCCAAACACTAGCTAACGCTGGTGGTCTTATAAACATACTGATGATGCTCTCATGGTTTAGCTTTACAGAAGACCATCCCACCACGGGTGTGTTCTGGTGGAGCTCAAACTGGATCCTGCAGATTAAAGGAAAATGCAGTTTCTTAGACCGTGGACCATCAGAACCAGAGACGTCTGAGACGGAGGGGAAACATCGTGGGAGGTGACTAATCTTTGGGTGAATACATTAAAGTGGGCCTTTTACAGGAATCATACAACTCATCTCTCTGGTGTAACACATGGGGGGGGGGGGGGGGGGGGGG